AATAAATAAATTATTAATTTATGTTTCTAAATAAAGCAAAGTACTTTCTAAAAATAAATATAAATTATTCAATTTCATAATAAAATTTTAACAAAATATTTTCAACTTATGATTAATAATCAGACTTTATGGAATATTTGGAGCAACCAATTACCCGATTACCCCGTATGGGGCTATCATATTACAAAGACACAAATAAATAATAGCTCTAACTTATTTAAGGTTAATAATAAATATAAATAATTCGTAATTAATTATAATATGATAATATCTAAAATACTATATCACGCGATGATTTTAAGAGATTAATTCAAGTTTAACTAAATAAAAAGTACATACACAGTATCTTTGTAATGGGATCTAACAACGAAAGTTGATAAAAAGGAGATTCGTTATCAAAGGAAATCGTACAAATAAATATAACAGATAATGAAACAGAACTCAAAATAGAATGTCGATCTGTTAATTTGTCGGATAAACGGACATTGGATTTATCCAAATATCTGCATATTAGATGACTAACCTACAGCATAGTCTGATAAATCTTAAATTGACCCAAGTCAATAAAAAATCAGGAGGCTTACAGGACATAATTATCCAATTGTCCGATTATCCGATTAATGTAAACGGATATTAACTTTGGTCAATCAATGATTTACAAGATTATACTGCGGGATATGTTATGGATTGACACACTAGATCAAAAAGGGTTAAAATAAAGTCTTCAAATATTTATTCCGCAGAATATTACTAATCATCCGTGTACATAATAGGTTTTTTTTACTAATTATTTAGGTTAAGTGTAATTTTACGCCGTTATGCTGATCCGGTATAATCACGATCGTTATAAATGGTGCCGATCAGGGGAAAAGATTTCTTTGGAAATGATAAGCAATTTATTGATGATTATTTAGATTTAGTGATTTAATGCACCAAAAATTTTAAATGATTTTAAATGATAAAAGGATATTATTCTTGGATAAATATTTTAAACTTAAATTATGATCATGCGAGATTAAGATGATTTTTCCAAAGTTCGCCTTTACTACTTTTAAATTAAGTTGGTATAAACGCATAAACGATTTTTCCAGGTTAAGAAAAATTTTAAGTATTTAAAGAGCTCAAAGTTATTGAAGAATTTAATTTTATGTCTTTTTATTCTCATTTTTTGAAAAAGATGTCTTTTCTTCGTGAACTTGGTAAAACTGGTGTGAAAATCCCTGCAATCGGTTTAGGATGCATGGTATGTCCCAGTACTTACTTCATAGTTCATAATTACTTACGTATCACGTGATTCTAATATAATTTTCTTTTTGATTGGGAAGGGCATGAGTGAATTTTACGGCTCAACTGATGAAGAAGAGAATATTAAAGTATTGAATCGATCAATTGATATGGGATGTACCTTTTGGGATACTGCTGTTTGTATTTAAAACCTTCTAAAAATTTATGATTTGTTAATATTAATTAAATAATAAAAAACGGAATATCGCAAATTTTTTTTTTTTTTAATTTGGTAATATAAAGGATGTATATGGATCTGGAGCCAACGAAACCCTTCTTTCAAAAGTTCTTAAAGAACGTCGTAATGAAGTTTTTCTTTGTACAAAGTTTGCATTCTTTCGAGGACCAAATGGTGAATTTAATGTATCAGGTAAACCTGAATACGTTCGTCAAGCTTGCGAAAACTCTTTAAAGAGATTAGGGGTAGACTATATCGATCTTTATTATCAACATCGTGTGGATTCTAATACGTAAGTTTGCTTGGGGGAGAACCAATCGTAATGCAAGCGCAATAATAATGAATTATTTGTTTTTACATTTTTATAGACCTATTGAAGATACTGTCGGTGCTTTAGCAGAACTTGTTAAAGAAGGAAAAGTTAAATATATTGGTCTTTCTGAATGTTCTGCAAAAACTCTTCGACGTGCTTATAAAGTTCATCCTATTGCCGCAGTTCAAGTAATTATTTATTATATCGACATATTATTTAAATATTAAATTATTAAAACATCATTTATTTTTTTTAAGATGGAATATAGTCCTTGGACTCTTGATATTGAAAAAAGTGGAATGTTAGAAGCTTGTCGTGAATTAGGTGTTACTATAGTAGCTTATAGTCCACTAGGGCGCGGCTTTCTAACAGTAATTATTCCCTTTATTAAAATGTGTTATATGAAAAAAAAAATATATTTTAACTTCAATAAATTTTAAATTACTTTTAGGGAAAATTTAAATCTATTGATGATTTTGAACCAAATGATTATAGAAGAACAGTTCCACGTTTTCAAGGTGAAAATTTCAATAAAAATTTGGAACTTGTACAAAAATTCAATGAATTTGCGAGTAAGAAAGGAGTAACTGCGGGTCAACTTTGTTTATCTTGGGTTATAGCTCAGGTTAATATACTTAATAATTTAAAATATGATATTGTATAAATAATTTTTTTAATAAAAATATATATTTTTTTATATATATATTTTATAGGGTGACGACTTTGTTGCTATTCCTGGTACCAAAAGAGTTAAATATTTAGAAGAAAATTTTGAAGCAGGAAAAATTCAACTTAGCCCTGAAGAAATATCAGAAGTTAGGAAAATTATTGATTCTATTGAAATCGTTGGTGATAGAAGTAATGAACGAATTTTGAAGGTAAATGAATTAATAATTATTTAAGCATATGTTAAAACTTTTTTTTTTTTTTATTTAATATATTAACAATTTTGCCTAAAAATGCAGCATTTGGATAAGGATGTTTAAAAAAATGTCATTCTAATTATGAATGATTATCATGTTCACCTTTAGTAAGTTAAATAAATAAATCGTTATGATTGTTATGTGATAAATTTTATAAATAAAAAAAATTTTTATGATTATTTTATGTTATGGAAAATTATTCTCACTTTCCTGATTCATGAAATGAATGCAAATGATCATACTCGCAAATTCCAAACTCGAAACTATACTGCATGACTGTATTTAATTATTCCTTAAATGCAGAAATGAGGAAATGTCTAAAGCCGTGTTATATCACGTGATTGTACAATTCATCACCCCCTACATCGACGCCCCTTGAAATATAATTATAAAAATTACTATAAAACATATAAATTTTACAATTTTTAGCATACAATTAATTTTAAATAATTTTAAATCTAAGATTTTTATAATAAATTAATGTTAAAATTTAAATACAAAAAAAAATTCTAGAAACGGTGTGACCAAATCTAAAAGAATTTTTTATTATTTGTCCGGAGCGTAGCGAATTGACATTCTATTGTTGTCCTTTTCCAATCAAATTTTCTGTAATAAGAATTTTCAAATAATAAATTTATTAATTTGTTAATACAATATAAATTTTCATTTTATGGATGTTTAATTAATAGTAAAGGAAGAATACATGATAATTTAAATAAAAAAAGCTGACATGAATGGAAAAAAAAAAAAATATTAAACTGAATTTAAATTATTCAAATTTCGACATTATTATACTTATTTAAACATAAATACGTAAAGGTCATTCATGTATATATAAATACGTCTTAAATTTTTTTTTCTTTTTTTGCTATTGTTTTGGTTTTCTCTCTTCTACGAAATATATATTCTTAAGTTAGAATACAGGAGATTTTTTCTTTTTTTTTTATTGAAAAATTAACTAAACATTATCATGTAATTTAAATTACTGCGGGTTGTTTTTTTATTTAAATCAGCAGATTTTTTTTTTAATTCGTTACATTTGTTAATTTTTTAAAAAATCGTCGGTATTAAAGGACTACGTAAGCTAAATCTCGTAATGAAGGAAGGAAGAAAAGAAAACTGCATGGGTTTCAGATCAAAATCGTCTAGTACATAACAATAGAATGACCTTCGCTATGCTCTGGACAATAATTAGAATACACACTTTTTAGAGCTTCATTCCCTATGATTATTTCTTCATTGCAAATTAATTGAAAGAAGCCGATTTCCCTCATGATTATAAAACTTTCCTTCATTAGCAATTTACCATCTAATTTACTTAAGGTTTTTTTACATCATTTTTATATAAAAGCAAGATATGGAGAAAGAAATATATTCAAGCCGAATAACTATTAAGTATTTATCATTATCATCCTTATCATTAGAAACCATTTAACAGCGTGAAATTATAATGTGACATTTATTATTAGTCATGCACTCTATATAAATAATTTTGAATCGTGTAACGACTGTAACGTGGCGCCTGATCTGGTTGATATCCCCGGTAAGTTCTACTAATACTAATAAGTAATAGTTTAAATTAACTTAATAATCTAGGATCCTTTCTTTATTACTAATAAAATTACAGTAGTATTAACAGCTAATTTATTTAATTTAGTAGTTTCAGGATGGATGAAATTTAGCGTTGTGAATTTTATGGAACGAATACTTTTATTTAATTTCTGTTAATAAAATCTTAATCGTTCGGGTGAATAATCCCTAATTATCTGGCTAATCGATTTTTAAGAGATAAAAGGAAATCAACGTTCATTTTTTTCGGTCAGATCGTTCATTATCTGCCGATCATTTAATTCAATTCTATTTATTTTTAAAAAAATATTTGTATGTACTGGACATATTTATCAATTACTCAATAGCTAACGTGTTCGATATCGAAAAAACATATTAAAAGGTTATTTTTATGCCAGGGCGACTTACGGTATTTCGCGCCACATCATACAATCTCAAATTCATCTGATCGAGTCAGGATTTTGATTCAATCGGGATTCGGGATTTGCATTTATCGGGATTTTGGTGTTGAGTCAGTTGAGATATAGTCTGTCAATATTATGGGTGTCGGGATTTTTGGGTGATCCCGTAATGATTTTCATGATTTTCATAAACTTTCGTATGATCTCCTGAAAATCAAACGTGGCAACTTTAAACAATCAAGCTTTCCTTTTTAGGAAATTTATATCTTCATTAATATATAAATCAAATATTTTTATATCGAGGTGTTTACCATTTTCTTCCTTCAAACTCGGTGATTCATAAAAAAAAATTTTTTTCTTGATAAAAGTCACGATTTAAAAAGAAAAATTTTGGTAAAAGCTCAAGTTTTTAAAAGGTTTATAAAGAGTAAGTTATAAAATTTATTTAAATTAATTTATAATGAACGATCTTTTATATTTATTTTTTAATTAATTTATTTATTGGTTTTTGTTTTTTTTTTTTTTTATAAAAAAAATCTTAGATTTTATATATAATATCAAAATGTTACAAAAGGATGATAAAGATCCCATTAAAACCATGAAATTTCAATTTGAAACTACGATATTTAATAAAGATAATTCAGATTTGGGAACCATGAATAATCTTAAAGAATTTAATGGATCTATTGACGTAAAAAATGAAATAGAAGAAAAAGATTGTCTTTGGAATAATACAGCTATTATTGTTTGTATAGCGGTCGGTATTGGTGCTATAGCCATTGCTGCCGTAGTAACGTTAGCAATGATTATAACAGGTAGTAATTCAATTTGATTGTCATTCTTAATTTTGTTTAAATATGAATAAATATTGATATTTTCTTAAGATCAAGACCTTACGGCTGTTATTAAGTGTCACAGTTTAATCGGTACAATCAGTTTATCAATTGGATCACATTTATGGTCCAAGAATATTAAAGGTAATAAGCTTATATTAGAAGAACTAGAAGAAGCGGAAAACCCGAAGATCGTATTGAAGAAACCAGAGCAAAATCCAAAATTCACATTGAAGAAACCAAGGTTCGTATTAAAGAAATCAAAATTCGTATTGAAGAAACCGGAGAAACCGAAGTTCGTATTAAAGCAACAAAAGTTCGTCAGAAGATTGTATTGAAATTATAAAACTTATATTGGAATGGTAGAAACTTGAATCAAAATTTTGATATATAGATTTTTTTTTTTTTTGATATCAATTACTCATGATTTAGTTCAATAAAAAAATTTTTATGCAAATAATTTAGTATTTGTCATAAATACATGTTCTTTAAATTTCACAGTATATTACAATCATGAAAAGCCTAAAATTATTCCTGATCTTTTTCTCAAATATCACGTGTGCTGAAATTAAATTATCAATATAATAAATTTAGCGTTTAGTATTTTATCTTTGAAATAAATATTGGTTATACAGTATTTTACTCGATGAACTGATACAATTAAAGTATCTAAAGCATAAATGGATTGTGGTTGCAGCAAGTGTCTATTTATGAACGAGCACCAAAGTGACTATTGACTGTGAGCTCAGAATTCTTGAACGATAACAATTTAACAACCTTTTAAATTATAGTTATTGGACGGGTAAAAATATCAGTCACCCAATAGCAGATAGGGTGACTGATATGTACAGTACAACTGTACAACAACTGTATTATTATGCATGCCACCCAAGATTATGCCTATTTTAACAATTTTTATATAAAAAGTCTAATTTTTTAAATAATTAACGTGATATCATTATACGTAACCAATGTGTTATTATGCAAACGTCCAAGATCATCATCAGGAAATTTTTTCCACGTAAAATCCATATTGTAGAATTATGTGGAAATCTGAATAGTTCCAAACACATGGTATTTTCGACGTAGGATATATGGGAATTCAACTAATCCATATGGAATTACGTGAACCGATCTACCTAAAAATTTCATGATGTTCCATATAACCAAACTCTATTTATTAGCGTTGTTTATCTAATATGGGCGATATTTAATCTAAATGACGTAATGCGTCAAAAATAGTAGACTGATATAAAATTCGGTTGAGTAATATATTGTAATTTGACGTAATGCTCACTAAATAATTTGGTGCTTTAAGAAAAATTTTGCTTTGAATATAATGCTTTAGTATAACATCAAGATATCAATAAAACATAGAATACGTACTATTAATCTTCAAAATATTTATTGAGATTTTAAAACTCGTTATTAATTGTTTAATTTATATAATTTATATTCAAAATCATACCTAAAAACTTTTAAATTTATTAGATATTTACTTTATTTACGAGGTATTTCACATAAAATATTATTCAATGGTTAATACATCATTTTTTTTTTATTTTACAATCATTTTACTTACTAATACAATAGGCTTTCTTTTCAACCAGATAATAATTTATATAAAAGAATATGTATGTACTGTCAGTAGGTTCATCATCTTAATTTTTTTTTAATTTATATTGAACATTTTTATCTCCTTGTTTAACAGATTGCTCATGCCAATAAATTACACGACTTACATCTTTTTTAATTTCTCTTCCATACATGATACATATAAGTAATATTATATTGAGCTTGTGACATAATTCAAAAGCTTTGTCATAACCTATATTAGCACCTTCTCCATTTTTATAAAAAAAATGAATATATTTCACATGTTGACAAGATTATTTTGAGCTATACTATTTTTTAAATTTGCCGCCTGTCGATATAATTCAATTGCTTTTTGTTTATTAACGCGAGTTCCAATTCCATTATGATAACAATATGCTAACATTGTTATTCCATCTGGATATTTTCCTTCAGCTGATTGTTTAAATAATTCGAAAGCTTTGCTATAATCTTTATCAATATTATCTCCATTTTTATACATAAGGGCAAGGTTATATTGAGCCATACTGTCTCCTGAATTTGCTGCCATATGATACCATCTGAATATTCTCCATTTGCCGATTGTCTAAATAATTCAAAAGCTTTGTCAAAATTTTTATCAACATCATCTCCATTTTGATATATAAGGGCAAGATTATACTGAGCTTAAATTTGCCGCCTGTTGAAACAATTCAACTGCTTTTTGTTTGTTAACACTAGTTCCAATTCCATTATAATTACAATATCCAAGTAAGAAAATATAATCTGAATTATTATTTTGATTAATCAGTAGCCAATTATAAAATTCTTGTGATTTTATATTATAGTTACTAAAATAGTCAAGAATATCCTTGCGAAATGTTGAATCTCTAAATTTTTTTCAAATGAAATATTTTCATTTGTTGATGTAGATACTATTTCTTTTGTATTTATTTTATCAAAATTTTGAATAATTTCAGACATTTCCCCGTGTAATGAATCATCAGTATTTGAAGAAGTATTATTATTAGCTGAATTAAACTTATGTTCATTTGTTAATGTTTAATCTTTCTGTTACTTGATTTATGGTTGGACGATTATCCGGCTTACCGTTCCAACATTCTGTTAAAAACATAATATAATATTTTATAAATGATTTAATTTTAAAGAGGATTTGCCGAAATTTTCTTTTTAAAAAAAGTTATACATACCAGTATAAATTTTAATGTAATTTTCAGGCGTATTAGGAATTGGTTCTTCTCTAAGGCCTTGTAAAATTTCTAAAGCCAAATCAACACCATATTGTTCTCCTTCATCATAAAAGGGAGGTTTACCACTAGATATCTCCCAAATAAAACGCCAACGCTATAGATATCACTTTTTTCATTTAATGACCAAATTGTGCCGAGTCTTTTTTCATTCTTCGTCCATTAAATCTTTTTGGATCAACGTAAGGTATTATTCCAAAAAATTTTGATTGTGTGTTGGATGCTGATTCAATTCGCTTTGACAATCCAAAATCGGATAGTAGATAGAATGTGAGTAAAGAGTGTTCGAATTTTCGTAATAAAACTCGTGTATGGATCACAACAATTAATTACCTTGAAGTTGCATTCCTTTGATACCAGCTGTCAAACTTCCTATTCCTAATATGATGAAAGAGAAATAATAAATGAAATGAAATCAGTATAGATTTGTGAATTCGAATTATTATGGAATATCAAGCAAAGACGCATTCACTCACATATATTACGACCCACTTACCAGCAATGGGTTGCGCTATGATAACGTGAATGTGTTTTTTGGGCGGGTTTGAGTGTTTGACAATAAGAAGCAGGAGAGAAAAGCACAAGATTATGTAAGTATCCGGTATTAGATATGACAGAAGACGAAAAAAAATACATTATATCACGTTGACTAAACTTGTTGTGACTTACTTACCAGTATCAGGAGCTCTAACTATAACTCGAATGTTACCTCCTTGGACATCAAGAAAAGTATTTCCAATTGTTTTTGCTGTATCCTCTAATTCGTCATTTAGTATTTCTTCGGAAATAGTTTGATCCGTGTTAACTCTCCATAACTTGAGTCTATCAGCATCAACTCCAGCAAAGTCATTCTGTTTTTTCTCCTTAATAGCTCTGTACATAAGTATTGGTATTGCAACGGTGCAACCATTGCTAATTCAGAATTTTATAACCGATAATGAAAATCCAAAAAGTGATCAGCAATTATTATAAAATATTACGTTATCAGAGAAGGGTCGATTATTAGCGATTTCCGAAGGAATTCATGCAGAAATCTCAATTATTTAAGTAATTTTCCTATGAACAAGTTTGTGTAACACTACCCTGTTTTTTAAGAGAAACTACTTAAAATTTCACAAGATTTCCTCTGGTAACCACTAATAATCGACCCTTCTCTACATAGTTATTCAGGAAAATCCGGGTTTTCCAGATTTGTGAATACTGATTTCCATAGAGGGGTAACTCACGGGGGTCGCACTAATTTGAAACGGCGATAATGGCTTAAAATATTATATGATAGAAACCTTAAAAGTTTTTTAGTTAGTTAGTTAGTACCAATTCTATTATAAATTTTAAAATATTTTTTTTTTAAAAAAAAACATTAAATAATTTCATAACTTTTAATTATAATAAAATTTCATTATTCGTTAATATTTAAACTTAATGTTTACTTATCTAATATAAATTTAATTAACCAAGCAAGTCAACAGGTTATTTTTGACATGTGATAATGTAAAATAACGTTGCTTTCGCCAAATATCATAGTAAACTACATGTATGTCCCGACTCCCGAATAATAGTTTATCAAATAATTTATTAGTATGTGACTAATGATAGTTTATTAAATAATATACTTTTTTTTGTAAAGACGTTCCGGACATGCAAAATTTCGGAATGCATTTAATTATTCATTTCAAAATTTCTACATTTTCCATGTATTTGCAGTGGCAAATGAACTGACGATATGAAACAGGCAAAATTACGTGATACTACGAAGTTGCCAGCTAATCATCACTTTGCTGACTTTTAAATTCAGGTCCTAAATGAAACCTTTTTAAGGCTTCATTTCCCTTTATTAATTAATTTGTGAATCACTAATAAAAAATTTTGAAAATTTTGAATCTTTGAAAACTTTTAATAGTCCACCTGCAAAATATTAACTGAACAGTAATCATTAGATCTCATTATTGATGTGTGCCATTTTTAAAATGTTCTTTTATAAATCTTTTACGTATACATTTATACCTCTAACAATTAATGTGACTATGTCACTGTATGTCATATGCTTTAATAAGAAAATATTTTGAGTCTATATATATACAGTATACAGTATATTAATAATGGTATCGGGGCAATTTTTCTGAAAGCCATGTCGCCGAAAAATAATCTTTGGCCTGAGTTATAATTTCCTTTGGCAAAACGTCCTTTCAGAGAAATGACTTTCGACGAAACGGCCTTCGGTGAAATACCCTATAACCATTAATAATTATTAAATTAGGACACTAGTAATAAAAATTTTATTATTCTATTGGTTTTTAAGAATTAAAAGATTACCACAACGTAAGATTGAAACAATAATTTTGACCAACCAGTAATTATGTAATATAATTGTCTGGAAGACATTATACTTTTACGAATTAGTGTGAAAATTGACTGTCGATCATTTTCACGTGAAGATTTCTCATATCAATGTTATTTTCTCAATGGGTTGATCGAAGGATATGATTAACGTTTATGAAAATCCGTTTTCGGAAACAATAAATTTGGAATAACATTACAAATTACGGAGTATCAGCTTTTTAAATACCGATATTGATTGCTGGAATTTAGGATTAATGCTCATTTTCGCTCAAAGAAATATTGAAATTTGGACTCCCGACCTTATAATATAAAAGCGGACTTTTGGTTGCTTCAAGACTGTTTTTTTTTAATATATAACCAAATTCTTTATTTTCATAAGAATTTTTTATTATATTACATTATGCCCAAAACTCCTTTAAAACAAAAAAATCGCAAATGTGTTACTTCATTAATCAACGCGAACAATACCGAAACTGATATTAGTGGACACAACTCCAACAATACTCTCATTGATATCAAGCAATCATTCCCTTCAACCTTAACGATGAATGAATTAATCAAAGACTCCAACACAAATAATAAACCAAAATTGTTTCCAAACGCTTTTATCACATATAGAATGGTGTTAATGAAAGAATATCGTATTAAAAATTGTAAATTACCTCCTATGGGTGAAGTCTCTAAAATTGCTAAGAATTTTTGGAATATGGAACCAAAGAACGTAAAAAATTATTATGAATCGTTAGTTAAGGACGTGAAATCAATTTATAAGCGGAATAACATTCAAATTATTTTAGATAAACATATGAATAATTATGCTGAAAATAATCAAGAAAACAGCGACATAGATTTTGGTATAGAAAAGGAAAATAAAGAACATGTTCATAATAATAAAATTAATTATTCTAGTGTCGGTTCAACTGACATTTCCTCAGTAAATTCTTCAAATTTTAAACCTCATATGGTAATAATTTAACACCTATTGCACTTAATGATCGAGAATATATTAGAATGTTGGAACAAGCAATTGAGTATTTATTAAGTTAAGTCGTTTCACGTTGGCAAGTTCGAAAAAAAAAGCATTAATATGACTTTTTAATGAAATTTATGAATCTATTATTATAGGCATTTCTATTTTAATCTAATTAAGTTAAATGATATGTAAAAAAAAAATACTATTCTATTTTATTGGTCTTTCCAGATTGGAAATTCCTTATTAAGTTTAATATTTCCGTATTTTTATGCTCATTAACCATAGTGTTTGCAAGTTTTTTAAGCTGTTTTTCAATTTCATTTTAATTCTTAATGATTTTTTTGTAATGACAGGCGCTAGACCAGCTTTATCAAAAAAATAATTTTAAGGTAAATAAAGTTAACCGATTGAAAGCAAAGAATGCTATAATATCTTAATTCGCACTCAGTAACTGCATTGTAAGTTGCCCTATAAAAAAAGTAGATACTACTGAAATATACGTTTTGTATACTGAGAGATAGTACGTTTAGGTACGTTTTTTATACTGAGAGATACGGGAAAATGCACAATTCCATATATCACAGTATAAAAACGTACTGTACCTATATATAAAAAAACGTATGTAGAATGACAGTAACTGCATAGTGAAATATAGTAAATATGCAGTTACTGATGCGTATTAAGGAAATTAAGTTTCTTTAAAGAAGTTTTGATTATAGAATTTTCCTATTTAATAATAAGCGACTTCGTTTGATTTTCCTCGTAAAAAATAGCTTATTACGTAGATCTATGTATACAGCTAATACCGTAATACGGCAGTACATTTATTGGCATTTTTTGGTTTAAGTTAATAATTATATAGAAAAGGGTTTTCTTCAAATTGTTATTATACAATCATTATGATTCGCTGTAATATTTTTGTATTGCCGATCACGAGTAGCGATTACTACAGTATATTCAGTATATTCGGATATTAATGAAAGAGATGAGCACTAACAGTTACTTTCACCGACAGTTACTTCATTGACAAACATTTCGCCGGAGGGTCTAGGTAAGAGGTCTGGACTCCGGGTCTAGAATAAGAATCCTGAACCGGAGTCTATGATAAGGAGAATTTAAATGGCACGTGACTTTAATTATACTGGACTTCATTATAAATTTCGTTGGAAACATCTCAATGTGATTTTATTGATTTTATTGCAAATTCTGCTATTTACCAGTAATTCCTTTTGACATATATATATATATATCTAAGATTTAGATTTGCAAATTATTTAACAGTAATGGGGTATGGTACGCAAGAGAATAGATAAAGCCAGAAAATTTTATGACATCTTTAATGTGATACGGAAGATGAGATTCGTCGCATCAAGTCTTTTACTACATCTAGTTTTTCGGATCTAACGATAAGCGAGGTTACATAATTTCTGCGTCACGATCACGTGATACTGTCCGATCTTAACACCTATATTTGTATTATGAGTTTTTTGTGCAATAAAGAATTTTGTTTTCACCTGCGTTGGGCTTTATTTTTAACATATTGCATTAGACAAATAAATATTATAACAATAGATAAGTTGTAATCCATGCGCTAATCTACAAAAAAAATGAATCCAATCTATAGCTAAAATTATGCAAATCGTTAAAATCATGAAATATTTATTATAAGTCATACATATAGTACATTTTTAAACCATTTTTATTTTAGCTATTTTTTTTAGTGCTGGTAAACTCGTAGAAATACAGTAATTTAATAAAAAATAGACAAAATCTATAAAACAAACTAACTAATCATTTTCCAACATAACGCATATGGTCTAATATTTTGGTCTGTTACTGTAATCCAATATCGATCTTGATTTGCCTTTCGCAAATCAGCAGGGTTAACTCTGTTCTGAAACATCACTCTATAAGTATGATTGTTGAATGGAAATGTTGTAGAATAAGCTTCAGCTTCAGTAGAATAAGGAGATGAATAAATTCCTTTTCCAAATGCAAATCTTTTTCCCTTGCTTGAATCAAAACCACCAACAGCAATATTACTAGCGGCATTAAGATCAGTACCATGATAAGAGATTGGCCATGCATCTGTACCAGTACCTAACCATTTATTATCGCCGTACCTGTCAACGTCTAAACCGTATTTTTGCCATCCGATAGGTAGATGATATGTTTCATATCCACGTCTATTCTGTCCATTGTCTTGTGCATTTGTGTAATCATAATCGAATTGGGGTTTTAAGAAACTTCTCGATATAACAAAATCACCGACCGAACCTCCTAATAATTTATATGATACGTTTATGGTACTACTTTGTTTGATATTGTATGATTCTAGAGTATTACGATCATCCAATATTTTACTAGAAAAACTAAGACTTAAAGGTTTATCGATGTTAAGTTTTGCTTGAATTTTTTGTCTCAATTCAAGGATAGTGCTATTCGGAGCCACGAATATTAAGCGACTTTCCCCGGAAAAGTTGAAAAAAATTTGAAATGTATCAGGATTAACTTGGACATTTTCATCAACTTGTCTGATAAAAAAATAATACGTGAGAGCAATTAAGCCAATGAACATGAAAATATAATTATGATATAGCAAAAGATAGACAGAAAGGAGAAGCGAAGATATGACAAAGGGACGGCTATAAACAATTTCAAGACCTTGTCCACCTTGTCCAGTTTCGTTACCACCCTGCCTGGTTTCGCTACCTCCTTGTTTAACTTCGCTACCACCTTGTTTGACTTCGCTACCACCCTGATTGGTTTCGTCACCGTCTTGTTTGACTTCGCTACCACCCTGATTGGTTTCATCACCGTCTTGTTTGACTTCGCTACCACCCTGATTGGTTTCGTCACCGTCTTGTCTGGTTTCGTCACCGCCTTGTCTAATTTCATTTTGTTTAACAAATTCTTCAAAGTAAGATTTTTTAACGACCTCACCATTATCATCTACTTGAAGAAGACAGTATTTATGAACTAAATCAATATTTAAAGTAGGCAGATCTGTTCTTTCGGATTCAGATGCTATTACACGACAGCCAATTATAGCCGACATTGCTTCGGCGACAAATTGCAAAGTTAAAGTCTCGTCCATGGTTCGAGGATACTAAAAAAATAATGTCTGTTATATTCACATCGTAATTAGTTATGTTTTGAGTTTGTAATTTATTTGCGTTTGATATTTATTAAAAAAACAGATACAAACTTTCAAATATTTACAAACTTTTAAATATTTTATTTGACGATTTAGGTATCCAACCAAAGAAAAATGTTCAGTTTATAAAGCTTCTATCTAAGCCCGATTATCAAAACTTCCATTTCATAGTACGATTTAATTGCATAATGTTGCAAATATCATGAGAAGGTTACATGCATTTTTTGGCAATTACCTTTTACGTACTATTCAATAGTACGTTTATGACTTATGTTATCTCATGTTCTAATGTCTGCAACCCTAATCATGAACAAGAAACGCCAAATACTTTTCAATGAAAAATATCTAAGAGGAAAGTTGTCTTACTTTATTTTTTTTTTCAATCAGTAGAAATTGACCCCGAAAGGAGATTAATAAAGAAATGCAAAAAAGGATAGGGATTTATTTCACATGTCAGAAACTTTGTTGTGCATGTTGTTGCGTATCAATTTTCAACAACTTGCCTTATTGGCCATTTAAAACCATGCAGTAGACGTATTTGATCTGCATTGAAGCAAAAATATCGATATCGTTGTGAAACCTGAATATGGTATAATTCTTGGTAGATCTAAACGTAATACGGCATTCACAAAAATAAAGAATTTTTCTTTATTGTATTTACCATATTAATTAATTATTTTTTTTATAGAACCGCCATTTAAAAATAAAATATGAAATATTTTTAAAAATATGAAAAATTGTGTGAAAAAGCACAAATGCGTGTAAAGTGTAAAAATATCATTTTTACTGACTTTTAGTAGAACCATCATTTAAAATAAAATATATTCTATAAAACAAATGTGTATGTAAAAAAGGTTTATAAATGTGTTTAATCATTTACAGTTAATGTGATAAAATATTATGTTGAAACATACCAATATTGTGTTACGCATAAAACTTTAGTAGATAAAGTAGATAACCGTCATCAAAAATTATAAAAGTAACGTAATTTTGACCAATATTAATACAAAAAGAAAAGATAGGCTGGGCAAAAAAAATTTTAGATTATCAATTCAATTTTCAAAAATCTGGGATAGTTTTTTTTATATATATAAATATTTCTTTTCTTTTTTCATATCGGTATGATACAACATAAGAAATTTCGTGACCTATTATTTCACTAATTTAAATCAGGTTTTGAATGGATGATGGCATATGAGGATTATGAGGTGTAGCAAATAGGATTTTCATCACTAAAAAAATTTAGATAGAATGCCCTAACCTTAATTCTAATACATTAAATCTAAGGGAAACATCACGAAATCCAGTGATAAAGTGACCTATTTGCCAATTGAAATTTAGTATTTTTGGTGTTGCCTTTTTGCCTGAAGTTGTTGCATAACGTCACAATAATAGTTATATCCTTCATTTACTAACTCTATTGGATATATTGGATAATTTCTGACACTTTTCAAACAAATATCCTTAAATAATCGGCAACTTCTATATGTCGATCAACAACGTTAAAAATTTTCTAATTACATATCATGTGATATACAATAAAAGGTCAAAAAAATTTATATAAAAAAAAAGAGCCACTATTCCGTATCGTTTTTAAAATTTGATGTCATGAGAATCTAAAGAAATTTTTTATCCGGCTTAATTTGCCCTTGGTTCATTATCATCAACCTGACGATAACAATATTATTTAGCCACAAAAACGCCTTTTCCCCATTAATGTACTGCATATAACTGCGGATTGATATTATTATGTATATTGTATAGTTTATACTACTTTATATCATACAAAATTTTTCTGATAAATTTCTATATTCATTAATGAAAAAGAAAAAACAAATAAAATAAACAGATAAACAAGTAAATATATGGACGAGCGTTTCAGAATTTTACGTACTTTATATTAAAACGACTTTCTTTTTTTGGTGACGCTGAAGGTTTTCCATTTGTTTATCATTATTATTATGAATTAACTACCGTGAGAAAACATTATTTATAAAAATATGTGGTATATCATTAACTTTCTCATTTTGTACTAATTACTAATCTCACATTCCATAAATATAAAATTCTAACGCCCAACAAAAGAAACATTTATACACGTTTGCTTACTACGATTGAAATAATAATGGAATATTTTATCATTTTATTTATTTTACACAGAGGTTTTTTTTGTTCTGTAATACATATATAATGGACATTAGAAATGCCACAATCTGGTAGATAGAAAGAAAAGTAATTTATTATATATATATTACTTCATTTCTGTACGTGCATATTATATACTCGTTTACAATACATAGTAAATCTTAATAAGTCTTAGCCTATATCACTAGCGTAACACTGTGATACAGGTCAGGCTTTCAGTTGCATGATGAAAAGAAATGATTAAAGGAAATCTCTTTTTTTTTTGGTTTTATTGTGTTTGATGTGTTGCACTGTGTATGTCCGTTCTTTGTCGTATTATTTACAATTGTCTTATTTACAACTTTTTTTTGTGCGACTACGAATCTTACAACGTGGTTTTCTAAACACGAAAAACAAACCTCCTGAATATGTAACGATTAGTTCTACTACGGTGACTGAATATATATATACAGTATATATATTAATACGATTATTATATGTAAATTTATTAGGAAAGATTTTCTAAGTTTAAAAAGATCTATTATAATGTTTGTGAAAAAAAAAACAAATTTTATAAAATTATTCATAAAGAAATCTCTTAATTTTTAAAATTTTATAAATCGAACCTATTAAAATTATTCATATTCCCTATCGAATAAATATCTACGTTTTATATTTTTTATTTTTACTTTAGAAAGAATATGTGTATAAAAAAATACTGTAATTGAATTATGCTAACCGATAACGTATTAATGTCACGATTGCCACAGTCTCACAGTGGCATAGCTAAGCCACATCACTTGAATTTGCGCAGTGTTATGCAGGATTGTTTTTGTTTCATAAGTTGGTATTACTTATTAGATTTTCCCAAAGATGCTTTTTTTTTGGAAAAAAAATTCTTGTGTAATTACCACTTTTTATTTGCATTAAACATTTTAAAAATATATATATTTTTTTCTATAATATTCAATGCAAGATTAACAAAATTTAAATAATTAAAGCGTCATTAAGCGCTTGAGTTAACGAATTTTGAATGTAAACGGATAACGGAGTTGAAGTTCGAGTGGTGCCAAAATCTATGATATTGAACGCAGGGGTCAAGTTTCTAAATTTAGTGATAATTATAATTAGTTATGGTATAATATTTTACGTATATATATGAATAAAAAATTTACCCACACTCTTTGTGAATTAGTGAAAACTGGATGTTTAGTTTCCTGAACTAGAACATCCCATTCACCATTCCTATTTAAATAAACAATATAAAATATGTAATAAATATATACAGTATATAATATGCAATAATTAATAAATTATAATACTTACAAATTTGTATGGCTATTAGCCTTTCTAAAAAGAAAAATACTCCATAAATTACGAATATCTTGTAAAATAAGTGACTTAGTATTGTTGCTCAATAATTGTGAATTATTTATTTTACTATAAAAAAAATATGTTATTCCAATAAATGAATAAACGTCTTCAAGGTGTATTACATTAGAATTTCTTAAAAGGTAAGATATCCCAAGAACAAATTTCATAAATGTTATGAGCGAAGTGAAATTATTAGGAAAATTTTGTTGATATATTTGAATATTTTCAGTTAATGTATGTTTTGTAGGATCGATATTTTGACTAGTTACTGCGTCTACAAATCTTTGAAAGTTACGATCATTTGGTTTTAAAACGTTCGTCGTATTATTATTAATAACATTTTCACGTCGGCACCAATTCAAAATATGAGGATCCATATATCGATTGAAAAAATTAGCCAATATTTCAGAAACATTGTTAATATTATCATGATAAATGGACGTCCGAAAAGAATACATTTTATATTTTGAAGATATTAGTGTAATATATGTACTTGTACGACCAAATTAATAAGAGAAATATGAGATACAATAAATATTTAAATATGAAAAGAATGAAATATCATAAATTTAAAGAAAAAAAACTTTAATTTATCCTTTGAAATATTCACATATTTTATGTCTAGAAATCAATTCTCTTGTTAAAGGAATAAGCGATATTTTATAATCTTTTTTTTTGGTGGATCACGAACATTGATAATTCATTTGTTTTTGTTTTATTCAGTTATACGAGAAATAAAAATAAAATATCGATTGGTTAATAAATTTTTTCTACATTAAGTAATTAGACTAAAATTTTATGCATTTAGTAGTACAACAAATAAATACCGAAGTTGGTATGTAGTACATCCTGCTTATTTAACTTCAGTGATACTTCGGAATTAATTTTTAACCATCAGGTGAATTATATGACTTATATCGCTTAATCACGCTAGTTAAAAAAGAAAGTTTTAAAAAAATTCTATCGAGTGAATAAATTTACCCACGAACTTTATACTTTTATTGGTTTGCTTTAATGGCAAAGGTGCAAAAATTTTGTGTAATGATATAATTGATTATTTTGTTCTAATAAATATCCATGATGATGTTATTTTTATCTCCTCAATAAATAACACCAACAACCAGGTAATAGGAGATTTTTTTTTATTTATGTTTTACTATGAAAAATAAATTTATTTTTTAAAACTAAAGAAATAACTTAATTAACCCATTCGTCAATCAATGGTCAAAAATTCATCATCCCCGTACTATTGTTGCAAAACGATTATATATATTAAAACTTTTGATAACTATAGATTAATTATTTATCTTCGCACAAATTCATGTTTTCAACAACTTTTAAAAATTCTTTCAACTAAATCTTGTAAACAAATAAACTCTGAAATAATAATAAATATATAATTTACTGAATAATTACATTCCTAAAAGTGAAAAAATGATAATTAAAATAATTTAATAATTTTTTGTAACACAATAGTCTTTATTTTTGTTTGGTTATTTTTGGTTATAAGTCCTAAGTTTTTTCTTTTTGATTACAATTTTGATTTATGTTTCATGTGTGAAATCGATAAAGTTTTGCTTATGCATGTGAAAATATTGAGACCGGAGATAATTGTTTAACGGGATATTATTTTAATTAATTTACTCTTATAATTGCGATCCAAAAAAAAACAAATTCTAAAAGTAGTTATTTTCTAGAAATTATTTTTTTCAAAAGATAGCTATTCAATTTGATATCAATTGATGTGACTAACTTTTTAAAAATTATGGCATTTGAAATATTTTGAAATATAATAAAATTTTCTTATGAACCACCTTTATAAATATAAATTGCTGAAGAATTTTAACTATAATTATTTTTTAAGCAAGAATGATATTAGCTTTCGTTCAAATGTATGGTTCACTATCCTAATAGGACAGTATTGGATTTTGATAGAAACAGTAGCAATTAAGCACCTTGTTAGTTTGCAAACTTTATTTATACTATTTATACATATGCGGATTGTTCCACGCATTGTTCAAAGAAGCTGCTGTGTAAGGTATACGATAATCCTTATAAAAAAATTCTGGAAAAATTTCCGACAAATTTAATTTATTTTTAAATAATTTATTTCTAGAAGAGGAGTGAACGTTGTCTGTTACACTAACAGGATGTTCAAATACAAATACAACAAGAACTGTTCAGGTAATTAGAACTACGTATCTCATTCCGCATAAATGCAGAACCCACCCTATACTAGCAATAAAACTACGCTACTACTAGCTCTACGAACAAGAAATTAAGAACCGGCACTAAAAAAAGAAAAATAAAAAGAAAAATAACAAAAAAAAGTTCAACGGGTTTATACTAAAAATAAAATAAGTCTAAATTATAATGAGAATAAAAAGAAATAGAAGACAAATCAATATCTAAAGAAGATAACCATGGTATAAAGTAGTGCTCCGCAAAATTTGGGTCTAACCCGGATAATTCAACCCGAGTGAATTTTAAATCAGGTCGGTACTAACAATTTTAATAACCCGTGACCCGCATGACCCGACCCATCGGGTCGGGTCATTCATTTCCTTGACTCGAGTTTTGACCCGAATTAGACCCGGATGATCATTAAAATCACTAATCACATATCAATTACGCGTTAATATTGATTATGTTTATATAATTTTGTTAGATGAATGAGGTAGTATATGCTCACTTAGCGAAAATTGCTAGAGACACCTTGCAATTACGGGTATGTGTATGAATTATTATTTTAATTATTAACATTACATTAACTAATAAGTTGATTTTGATGATTAATAAAACAACCAGCATTCCAGTAGTTTCCGGTGGAACCGATTTGATAGCTGCAAAAAGATGTAATCTTAAAGCAGATACAATTATAGCATGCATGTGTTTAAAGTCCTGGCAGACGTAAAGTATAGTAAAATTTCTGTTAAAGCAAGTGATATAATTTCAATTTTATAGTTCAAATATAAAGCAATAAATAAAAAGGAATTTAAGATATCTTTAAATTCGTGCTTAGCTTTAGTTTTAATAACAAAAAGTTGTGTGACCTATATGATCATCTTGTAGATCAATTACCTTGAAAAATTATATTTGAAAAAATATTTTTGATATATTACTAAGCATACAGTATATTATTCAATGAAAATTTTGGGTCTAACCCGGGTTATTCGAATTAAATATACTCGGGTCAGGTTAAAATCGGATCATTTCTATTTTTGCTGGGTCGAGTCGGATATATTCTCCAAACCTGACTGAATCCAACCCAGTAGGAGCACTAGTATAAAGTTAGAGCTTAGAGGATGTTAAATATATCCATAAAATAGAATTATCGAGCGCGTGTCACGAATCATTAAATGGATGGCGGTAACCTCGTTCAATATGTAAACGGTGAGATTGTGGTTGAGTAGCAGATCTATATTTAGAATGACGATAATTTCCAAGGGGGGATTTTGTTAAATTAAAGCGTTTCTTTGTTTCTTTCCACATAGCTGAACGTTATTTCCATATAGCTTCGTAAATGGCGTGATGAAGGTCATACAGAAAATTGATTAATAAATTTTTCAGGAGAGATTTACTAATACCAGCCGCTTTAAAGGGATGGATAATTTCTTTCGGAATTAAATTCAAGAGTAAACAGTGTAAATGAGGAGCAATGATCATAATTGTCGAATCCGTCCAACTGAATATATTACAAAATTTGATGGCGTCTTCATATAACGCAACGTAATGATCAGAATTGTTCATGATAAGAATTTTGAAGATATCGTAAAATTTTTGAATAAAGGACGAAGAATTTCAAGGACCTTAGGACAAGTAAAACTCCGATAAATGATCATTTTTCTAGTTTTATTCCAAAGAAACTCAGACACGTGATCATTTTTCTGAGAATTTTTTATAGGGTGAGTAAACGTGTACTTTCCGTATTTACGCTTGGTTACGTATAATAATTTATTATTAACTTTTGCTCTTCGTTGTAGTTGCCGTTCATTCTCTTTTGATTTGTCTTTATAATTTAATCAATCCATTTATAACTTCTACAAGCAATTCTTCAGTTTCAGCAGGAAAGTAAGATTTATAATATTTCTTAAATTCGTGCATAACAGCAGGTTCTAACAAGCTACGATAACTTTATCTCGCTGGTTTAAAAAACGTTTTAGTATATAATAAATAATAAACAAATATAAATACTATATAGTGTTGTTAACGGTTTGGCTTAGTTCGGCTTGAGGCCAAAGTCAAGCTAAGCCGATAAAAAGTCAAGCCAAACCAAGCCAAATCCTATTGGTTTGAAGGTTCAAGCTGAACCAAGTTGAACCAAGCCAAATTAAGCCGCGAAGCTAATGGGACTGATGGAGTTGATGGAGCCGATGGTAACCGAAGCTGATAGAACTGATGGAACCGATGGAGCCGATGGTAAAGATTCAAGCCGTAAAGGTAATAGTCTAATAAAATATAGAAGCAATAGAACCAATGGACTGAATATAATCAATGAAATTCAATTTAATCAATTATTAATTTATTTTATTATATATAAATTTATAATTTAATGGGTTTCAAAAAAATTAAACTTTATTTATTATAATGTAACTAGTTATAATGTAATTACAAATGAAAAGAAAAATTAATTATTTAATAACTTTATCCAAGAATTTAAACACATGCATGCTTCAATTGCACAATCCACCAGTCTATTTCTTTTTTTACTAATTAATTATCCAGATTTAGAAAATGCTTGCTCGCTAGGAAAAGAAGTAGAAGGTATACAAATATGATCACGCGCAATTTTGACCAATATTGGATATTGTGATTTGTGGGTTTTCCACCATTCACAAGGATCTATATCTTTAGGTTCTACAGGGATTATCAAATATTCATCAATTTCATTACGTTGCAAGTTACCTTTTTGCTTTTTTTGAAGCATGAGTTCCATAATTCCTAATGCTTTTCTTTTTTCACCTGATGATACATCTTCATTAATTTCATTCTCAGGATGATCCAGATTCTAATAACTATTAAACTTGTCTACAAGTATTTGTTTTATCATGTCTTCACTTATATTGTTAGGAAGAATTTGTGTTTTATATCAAGAATATAATATTAAAGCTAAATAAGCACTTGAATTATAAAGATTCTCTTGTATAGAATCAAATTTGTTTTTCATTTCTTTAGCAATTTCTTTTATCCATAATATTCCAGATTTTTTTATAGTTGTTGTTATATGATCTAGTAAATGGTCCAAAAGAAGAAGTAAAGTTCCAAGAGTAGGGTAATTAGAACCTGACATTACTTCAGTAAATTCAAAAAATAGTTTTAAATAATCACAAAAAAGGCTAATTTCTTTCCACTCGTCATCAGTTAAATTCAGATTCCCAAAATTATTATGTAAAGAAATTGCTGAAGTAATTATTACTTTATTTGCAAGAAAAGATTCTAGCATAGAATACATACTGTT